GCAGCAGCGGCAGCAGCAGCAGCAGAATTAGCTCCCATTGTTGAGGCTTCATCTGAGGCCTGTAGCTGCTGCTTTTTCTTGCGCTGCTGCTGCTGCGGCGGGTGCTGCTGCTGCTGCTGCTGCGGCTGCTGCTGCTGCTGCTGTCGCTTGGGCAGCTCCCTGCTTGATGGTCGGCACTCTGGCTGCTGCTGCTGCTGCTGCAACTGCTGCACCTGCTGCACCTCTTGCGGCTGGTCTTGAGGCTGCCGGTGCTGCTGCTGCTTCTGTTGCTGTTGCTGCTGCTGCTGCTGCCGCCGCTGCTCCTGCTGTTGCTCCACTGACGGGTGCATAATCCGCTGCTGCTGCTGCTGCTGCTGCTGCTGAAGGGATTCTTGTAAGAGAAGCTGACTTTGCTGCTCTTTCTGCTGCTGCTGCTGCTGCTGCTGCAATTCATACAGCTCCCTGGCAACTACCGGCTCATCCATTCGTTTAACAACTTGCTGCTGCTGCTGCTGCTGCTGCTGTTGCTGCTGCTGCGGTTGCTGTTGCTGCTGCTGTGGTTGCTGAGTTTGCGTGTGGCGGCATACTGCTACTGTAGGCGCTCCCTGAGCTACGGATACAGCAGCAGCAGCAGCAGCAGCAGCAGCAGCAGCAGCAGCAGCAGGAGGCGTTTGTCCTGCTGCTGCTACTGTTGCTGCTGATGTGGCAGCTGCTGTTTGCCGCTGGCTATCATTCAAGGCGTCACAACGGGGTGGCGTGCTGCAGCTGCTGCTGCTGCTGCTGCTGCTGCTGCTGCTGCTGCTGCTGCTGCTGCTGCTCTTACTGCTGCTGCTACTGCTGCTTCTGCTGCTGCTAGTACTTGTCTTGCTACTGGAAGGGTATCGGGTGCTGCTGTTGCTGCTGCTGCCCCTGCTACTGTTGCTGCTGTTCTTGCTGCTGCCACTCTTACTGCTGCCGCTCTTGCTGCTGCTGCTGCTGCTCTTGCTGCTGCTGTGCTTGCTGATTTTGCTGCTGCGCTTGTTGTGGTATTCCATGCTGCTGCGGCAGACAGCAGCCGCGCCCTCGTCTGTAACGGCAGCAGCAGCAGCAGCTGCTGCTGCTGCTGCAGCTGTAGCAGCAACACCACCACTACCATTAACATCAGCAGGTTCTGCTGCAATAGCTGCTGCTGCTGCTGCTGCAGCATCTGCAACACGCACTGCAGCAGCAGCTGCAGCTGCTGCTTCTGACTGAGCTGCTGTTGCTGCTGGTACTACTGCTGCTGCTGCTGGCTTTGCTGCTACACCTGCATGCGTGGCAGCAGCAGGCACAGCAGCAGCTGCTGCTGCTGCTGCTGCCGGCCTGATTGCCTCCCCTGCTGCTGCAACAGCTGCTGCAGCTCGTGCTGCAGCAGCAGCAGCTCGCTGTGGTACTGCAGCTTTTGCTGCAGCTGCTGCTGCTGCTGGCGGCGATGCTGCTGCTGCTGCAGCAGTTGCTGGCGCTGCTGCTGCAGCTGCAGCTCCATTCGCTGCTGCAGCAGCTGCTGCTACTGCAGTTGGCGGTGGTGTTGCTCTTGCTGCTGCAGCAGTTGCTGCTGCAGCAGTTGCTGCTGCAGCAGTTGCTGCTGCTGCCTTCACATGCCGGTTTAGGGTGGGGCTCTGCTGCTGCAGCAGCAGACCCTGCAGCCAGCCCACGGACGACCGTCTGTACGATACATTTTGCTGCTGCTGCTGCTGCTGCTGTTGCTGCTGCTGCTGCTGCTGCTGCTGCTGCTGCTGCACCTGCTGTATGGCAGAGCGCGCCGCTACCCGCACACGCTGCGCCGTCTGGGGGTTCGATGAAGGGACCTCAGAGGAGCGGAACCTGTGCTGCTGCTGCTGCTGCTGCTGCCGCTGCTGCTGCTGCTGCTGCTGCTGCTGAGGCAGCGTAGCTCGCTGCTGCTGCTGCTGCTGCTGCTGCTGCTGCCGCTGCTGCTGCAGCCGCTGCTCGAATTGATGCGGAGACTGCTGGGTGTCTTGCTGCGGGCTACATGAGACAACGAAGTCATACGGGGTCAAGCACAGCTGCTGCTGCTGCTGCTGCTGCTGCTGCAGCTGCTGCTGCTGCTGCTGGTTTGGCGTAGAGTGAAACTGTTGAGAAGAGTCCGTCAAAGGAGGAGAGATGCACAGCTGCTGCTGACTCGGATACCCCCCCCACCAAACGAGTTGCTGCTGCAGTGCTCAGCAGCAGCAAAAGCA